CTCCAGAAACCCTTGGGGGGGGCCGCAGGACCCATTAGAAAAACACAGAAAGCTCACAGGAAGTCACAGTCGACGCAGCCAGACGGACCCCGAGAAAGCAGTTTTATAATTTGATTGCAAACCCCCACACCCTCCCCCGCGCGGTGGGTTCGCGTTTGCGGCGCATCCGCAGACGCATCCGCGTGCGCGCGCGCGTGTCCAGTCGCGCAGCGGGGTGCCATCACTTTCGTGGATCGAGACCCCCTGCTCTGAAATATCATTCTGCCGATGCGACGCGCGAGCCATCCCCCGCGCGCTCGAGCACTGCCAACTCGCGCGAGGAAGCTGCATGACGCCGCGCGCCGACCCCCGCGCGTGAACTTGCGTTCCGAGACCATCGCCGGCGCGGCGCGCGCCAGCCCCACGCGAAAGTCGCGTGCCGAGGCCGCTGGCGACGCGGCGCGCCGGTCCTCATCCGTGCGCTCTGGCGCTGCTCGGTCTCGCGAGGATTCTGCCCGGCTCCGCGTGCGGACCCCGACGTGAGAGTTTCTGCGTGCCGAGATTCTCGCCGCTGCTGCGCGCGAGTCCTCCCCTGCGCGTGCGCGGGCGCTGCACAATCGCGCGAGGAGGCTGCCGCGCGCCGGCCCCCACGCGAGAATCGCGCGCCGCGCGCCGACGCGCGAGTCCGCGCCCGAGGAAACCCTACCTGGCCTGAGGGTTCCCGAGGAAGGTCTTGAATTTGTCATGCAGGCCCCCACCCACCCCCCGCGCAGGGGTCGCGTTGCGATGCGCCTGCGTGCGCGGCGTCGTTCGACGTTCGTCGCTCGTCGTCCGTCATTCTCGGGCCGGGCGAAAGGGGGGGATTGGGAAAGGGGGGGTTACGAAATTTGCTGCATGCAGCTGGTTTCGGCCTCACCGAGGGGGCCATTCCTCGATACATGGCCGCCCCCGGCGCCGGGAGGCGCCGGGAAAATCAGCTACGTGAGCTGATTCTCAAACCCCCCCTTTGCTATCCCCCCCTTCCCCCCGACCCGACATTCTTGACGCGCCACGTATCCCCACCAGCCCATCCAGAAACGATGCCCATGAGAGCTGAAGGGGGGAGAGGCGAAGAGACGCGCACAGTCAAAGAACAAAGGAGGCCGGCCCACACGGCGTGTTGGGGCCATCTCCAGGCCCGCGTGACGGGGGGGGGCGCAGAGGAGGACGGGGAGAAGGAGGAGGAGGAGGAGGAGGAGGAGGGAGGGGGCAAGAGGAGCAAGACGAGGAGAAGGAGGACGAAGATGAGGAGGACGAGGATGAACATATTGAGGAAGAGGAGGAGGAAGGAGAGGGGGAGGGGGAGGGGGGAGGGGAGGAGGAGGAGGAGGAGGGAGGAGGACGACGACGAGGAGGAGGATGAGAAAGAGGAGGAGGACGAGGAGGAGGGGGAGGAAGAGGAGGGGGAGGAAAATGACGAGGACGAGGACGGAGGAACGAAGGATGTGGACGAGAACGAGAGCTCGAGGATGGTGATGATGATGATGATGATGATGATGATGATGATGATGATGATGATGATGATTCTGACGATGATGATGAGGATGAGGATGAGGATGATGATGATGATGATGATGATGATGATGATGATGATGATGATGATGATGATGATGATGATGATGATGATGATGATGATGATGATGATGATGATGATGATGATGATGATGATGATGATGATGATGATGATGATGATGATGATGATGATGATGATGATGATGATGATGTGGTGGTGGTGGTGATGATGATTATGATGAGGATGAGAATGAGGATGAGGATGAGGATGAGGATGAGGATGATGATGAGGAGGAGGAGGGGGAGGAGGAAGAGGATAAGGGATAAGGAAGAGGAGGTCGACGATGGTGAGGACGAGGACGGACGAGGACGACACGGCGTCTTGCGTGCCTCGGGTGAGATAATTGCGCCTCCTGGGGGCCTCTTGGGGGCCTCTTGGGGGCCTCTCGGGTGCCTCTTGGAGGCCTCTTGGGAGCCTCTTGGGGCGCTCTTGGGGTTCTCTTGGGGGCCTCTTGGGAGCCCTGGAGGGCCTCTTGGGGCCATCTTGAAAGCGGTCGGTCAAAAGAGAGGGGTTCCTCGATCTCTGCCCCCCCTCGAGGGCCACGATCTTCGTGAGGGGTGTCAGAAATTGACCTTCCCACTGGCCGAAAAAGCAACCTCTGACACCTCGCGACATTTCAAAAAAAACAGGGAGGGGAGGGGGAGGGTTCCCCGATGGGAAGAGGGGTTGTGGAAGAGTAAAGAGACCCTCCTCAGACCACCTGTCGCCCAGAGGGAGGGCTGGTGGGATTCGTTGTCGTTCGCCCTTCGTCGACAGTCGTCGGCCTGGTCACCATTCGTTGTTCGTCGTTCGTCGCTCGTCGTTCTTCGGTCGTCGTTCGTCGTTCGTCGCCCGTTTGTAGTCGTTTGTCGTTGGTCGTTCGCCACCGTCGCCATTCGCCTGTAGTCGCGCGGCGATACATCCGCGGGGAAGAAGTGCTACGCATGTCACGTTACCCTTCTTAATCACCAGCTAACATAGGTCATGGTGGTGAATGAACGCGCATTCTTAGAACAACTAATGGAGAAAGCGATGATTTACTAAAGCGAACAACGATGTATTCAATTGCATCGCCTAGTCAAAACAATACGAACCGTCATTTAGTAGTAAACGCAGAAAGCGGCTTACAATACTAAAAAACATCGATGTTCTAAATCCGGGGCCGTTTTTCTAAATCCCAGGCCATCACATTACCATGACCTGAGTGGCTCGATCATTTAAAGGGGCAGCGTGGAGGTGCAGGCGGGGAACGAGTTCACTATCAGGCGCAGCCGAGGCAGGGTGGGGGGGGGGGGCTGGGGCACGACCGTCGCGAGCGTGCGCCAACTCATCCCACCCCCAACAATCCAGAGGGGGGTTGGGATGCGTGCGCGTGGTATGTTTTGCACTTCCTTCTCTCCTTTTGTGTTTCTTCTCTCTATGCATATATATGTACATATGTATGCCTTTCTCTCTCTCTCTCTCTCTCTTTCTCTATCCCTCTCTCTCTCGATCTCTCTTGCTCGGTTCGAGTTCCACTTGATTCACGCACGTGTCGGCAAGAGCGCCTTACCATAAGAAGCGACACACACCTGGGGCGGCCGGAGGCCCCGGGGGTCCAGCGCCGATCCGAGAACTTCGCGCGGGCCCTGCTGGTTTTCTGTCGATTCCGTCTGGGGCTCTCTTGCCCAGACATCATCGGGGGCGGCAAGGAGGGGGTGATGACTAGGGGGGGGTTGGATATCATGGCGTGGGCCATGATTTGCGGCCATCCCTCTTGGACGCACTCCTTGGCCGCCCCCGACATCAGGCGCTGCAATGGTTCGTTGTGTGGGCCCCCAGAGGTCTGGACAAGTTCCCAAGGGCCAGTTTTTCATCCTGAGCAGTTCTTCGGTCTGGACAAGTTCCCAAGGGCCAGTTTTTCATCCTGAGCAGTTCTTCGGTGGTCCTGTGAGGGCCCCGAAGGGCCCAAACCAACCCCAGACCATCCGCCCAAGTGTTTTCGCAGCCTCGGATCTCGTGGCCCTCTGATCTTGGGCGCATGTTGTTTAGCATTTTGCAGCGCATTCCGCTGCAGCGACGCGGGACAGGTAGCGGTAGCGTATCCTCTCCTCTTTTGAAAGTTTCGCCGCCTTCCTCCTCGACGTCCCAAGGGCCGCTTGGGTTCGAAGATCGTTGACGGAGGCTCGTTGATCGGCTGCGCGTCAGAGTGAATTTTCGCTGGGGCGACCTGGAAGTGTGGGCCCACTGAGGTCCCGCCGTGAATGACTGGCTGTCACGCCTGGATGGCTTGCACTTGGCCTCCCCCGCGGCCCCCGAACGCCGCGCACCAAAGGTCACTCTTGCCCAGGGTCACTCATGCGTGTAGCCGGCCGTGGACCTGGAGATCCGACGTGGCGAACAAAGTCAACATCGTGAACCATCACGCTTGGAGCCCCAGACCCCATCTTCCTGCGCCACGCTTCGAGCCGGATCGACCTGTGAGGGTCCTGGGGTCGGAAATCATGCGAGAACGCCCAGCTCGAAAACATTGAGGCGCCACGATCCCAGGGGAGGAGGAGCTGGGGGTGGAAGGGTGGAAGGGGGGTGGTCAGGAGGCGAGTCCCTGGGTTTCTCCTTCCCTGTCAGCTGCCTCGATACGCCCGCTTCAGTGCGCAGCACGCGCCGTGCTCAAAACGTGTCTGTGCCCCTACGTTGCGTGTTGGCTCGGCGTGCTGGCCCGCGCTTTTGGGCGAACGCGTCGCGCCAGGCGTACGTTGCCCGTCTCCGCGTGGAGCTCCGTGTCCGCACGCTGCGGGCTGCGTGTGGCGCGTCGGGGCCGCCGGGGTCCGGACGCGAGCCTCGGGGCCGCCTCCTCTCGGAGGCTGAGCGACCTCGTACCCGGACGCGTCGATTAGCGAATTGGCCGTTTTCGGTGCGCGAGAGGGCGTCGCGGCTGTCGTTTTTGCGGGTCCAGGTCCGTCGGGTTCGGTCCTGGGCCGTTATCACTGAAGGGTGGTTTGCGGTGGGGGCGTTGGCTCCGGAATGCGCCCAGGATGCTGCAGACCCTGGAGGGTTCTTCATTTGACGTGGGCGGCGGTGGTGTCCATGGCCGAGCGTCGGTTGGAGTCCCGCCGGCCTCCAAGGAGGAGGAGGAAGAGGAGGAGGAGGAGGAGGAGGTTCCTTGTCTAATGCCCCCATCGTTCACGCACGGGCCGCGCGGCCCCTTGAAGAGGAACAGAACAACGAGCGACAAAAAAATGCCCCCCCGCGCTCGAGGAGGAGGAGGAGGAGGAGGAGGAGGAGAACGTGGGAGGAGGAGAAGGAGGAGAACGTGGGAGAACGTGGGAGGAGGAGGAGGAGGAGAACGTGGGAGGAGGAGGAGGAGGAGAACCTGGGAGAACAGGAACACGAGCAACAAAAAAAGCAACAGAGGGAGGCTCGGCCACCGCCGCTCCCTCCCGCCCTGCAGGAGGCCACCCGCCTCTCGGAGGCCTGCCTCGCCCGGCACCCGCAGACGCCCATGTGCCACTACCACGTCGCCGTGGCCTGCTGCCAGCGGGCCCTGCAGCTCCGGGCCGCCGCCCGGGCCGCGGGCGCGGGCGCCGCCGCGGCCGCGGAGGACTCCGAGATCCGACGCTCCAACACAAAGTGGAGCGGGCGGCTTTCTGCCCCGTTTTCGGCCTCGGGGGGCCGTCGCCGGGCCGCGGGGCCGTCGAGAAACGGCTCAGGACGAGACGCCGGTCCTGGGGAAGTGGCCCAGACCTCCGGGGCCCACGCATCGAACAAAATTGGAGCAGCCGGATGTTTGGGGAGGAGGCCGAGGGGCTGCGGCGCAGGTCGCTGGAGGCCCTGGCTCAGAGGAGGAAGTTGTGCTGATACTGCTGCTCGTCCTGGAGGGTCCTCGTCGCAACGGCCGGATTCTCTGCAAGCTTCTAGTCAGAACGCACGCCGGGAGAGGTCCGGGGAGTAGCGGTATCAGCGTCTTTTGGTTTCCCCACTGGCGGCGCACACCACCCAGACATGCCAGTGTCGTTTCCCCGATCCCTATCCCCATCCCCATCCCCATCCGGAGCCCCACCATCCCACCACCGCCTGAGGAAACAGGCTGTATGCCTTTCTAGGGGGGGTTAATCAGCCAGTGGAGCCCAGGCCACGCTGGTGGGGATAGGGATCGGTTAAACGGTGTTCAACATGTTCGTGTCGCACACAGATCATGGCAGACGGGTTTTCGCCTTTTCGGCCTCGCCGGGCCCCGGGACCGTGAGAAAACGACCCAGGATGAAAAGCCAGCCTCATGAAGGGAAGTTGTCGCGACCCTGAGGCCCTGGTGGCGCGCGCTTGGGGGGGTGGTTGGCGCCACCTTGACCCTGGAGTCTCAATTTTTCTTCGAGCAGCGCGCTTTCACCCGATTTCGGGCCCCGGGACCCTTCCAGGTCGATGCGGCTCGAAGAATGGCGCAGAAAGAAAACGGCCCAGTATGACAAACTGGCCCAAGGGAAGTGGCCCAGACCTCCAGGGGGAATCAGTGTCTGGGGGGGGCGCAGTGGTGCGAGGGTGGGCGGCAGGCGGGCGGGGGGGCTTCTGGGAGGGCAGAGAAGGGGGCCTCTTGGAAGCCCTGCCAGCCTCCGGGAGGCCGCCGTGCAGATGCAAGCAGGGGGTCCTAGGGACCAGGGAGCCCTCTTACGAGCTCACGGGCCCTCGTGAGCACGCCCTTGCCTTCCGAGCCGGCCCCCCTCTCTCTTCTTGGAGGGCCGCCCCCCCCCCCCTCGCGCCGTGCACGCCCCGAGCTGTGCGCGCCGCCGAAGGCCTTCTCCCTGGCCCTCGACAGCGAGGAGGCCAGGCGGCGCAGCCGCGCCGCGGCGGGCCCCGGCGCCTGCGCGGAGCCGCCGTGGACCGAGGCTCTCATTGGGTCCATGCGCGGAGGGCCTCGGGTTCTCGAGGGGTGTTCTGCTGGCTTGGGTCTGACCGTAGCCCTCAGCTCTGGGCGAAGCCCTTTTACTCGTCCTGAGGGCGTCTTCGCTCGGCCTCTCGGGCCCTGGGACCATCACGGGTCGAGCCGGCTCGGAGAATGCCGCAGCAGTCGATGGGGTCTAGGGCCCCGGTGGTGATCTTTCACGATGGTGCACCTGTTTTGCTCAGCCACGCGCAGAGTGGAGTAGGGGGAGGGGGGAAGGCTTCTGAGAAGCACCCTTGCTTCTCAGAAGGAGCGGGCCTTGTCCATAGATGTAAGGCCGGCGCCTTCCAAGAAGCAGCCTCCTTCTGAGAAAATTCCCTCCTCCCCCTACCCCCTCGCGTGTGCCGCCGACTAATCCTCCCAGATGAGGTCCGAGCACATGGGGTCGGAGGATCGCTCTGCATCGCCGATGCATCGGCGACGCTGCTCTGGGGTGGGGCCCGATTTTCTCCACGTCAACCTGTCCGATGCACCGCCGACGTCGACGCTGCATCGCCAGTGCATCGCCGATGCTTCGGCGAGGCCTCGGAGATGCGGCGCGATCCTCTGACCCCATCTGCTTGGACTCTGTTTGGGAGCCCTCAAGTCCCAGCAGGGGCAACCGTAGCAACAGTAACCGTCCGTTTCCTCCCAGGGCCCGCGTGCATGATCACAGGGTCTCAAACTTGATCTTGCGCGCTTTGGGCGACCGTGCAGTCCCTGCGGGCTTGGGCCCTCCACCGGTTTCAAGGCCTCGACAGAGTCGAGCCAGGCTTGCCACTACGGTCAACTTACCACGTGGTCGCCCGTTCGTTCGTTCGTTCGTTTTTTGCAGTGCGATGGCTAGGCCTGCTCGCCTCCGCCCTGCCTGCAGGAACTACCGTGCAGGCGCATCCCGCTCAGAGGTGCGGGCCTCGGGGCCTGTTAGCGCCCAGGGCCGAAAAGGCTGCGGGCACGGATGCGTACGCAATTCCCAGCAACCCACCCCCTCCCCGACCTGGAGGCCGACGTCCAGATGCGCATCGCCATGGAGGGGGCCGTGCACCCGAAGCGCGTGCCGCTGCCGCCGGCCTGGCCCGGGTGGCCGGTGTACGCCTACCGCGTGTAGGGCGGCGGCGGCCGCAGGACGGCGCGCCGGCGCCGCTCCCCGCGATCGGAGGGCCACGTCGAGGCAGCGGCGGCGCCCCCCCCGCCCAGAGAGCCGAGGCGCCGAAGCGCGCCGGGAGCGGCCGTTCAAAGACCTTTTTGCTCGGCCTCGGGGGCCTAAGAGGCGGGGGTCAAGGCAAACGGGGGTCAGCCAGGGCACGGGATCCTGCAGGATCCTGCGAAGACCCCCTCAGGCTGACCCGGGTTAGCTCGGGGGTGGACAGACCTCCTACCCTGACACGTCGATTAGTGAATTGTCCGTTTCCGGGTCTCGAGAGGGCGCCGCGGCCGTCATTTTCCAGGCTTGCGCCCGCCAGGTTCGGGCCCGAGGTCGTTTTCACTAAACCACGTTTTACTGAAAGGGGGTCTGTCCATCCCCGACTAGCGAGCCGCTCGTGGCCGCGAGGCGGCCGCGCATATTGGCTGACCCGGGTTTGCGAAGGCCTGCGTTGCAGTTTTTTTTCTTGCATTGCAGTTTTTTGGTTCCCTGCTGACCCGGGTCTGGATTGACCCGGGTCAGAAGATCCCCGACGGCCGTAGGCACGCTGACGGCGTACAGGTAAAGGGTACGGTGGCGGCAGTGGCGGTGTTTGGGGATGTGCGCGGGTTCGGCGTCGCAGAAACCATATTCATCGCCGTTTGACCAGCATCGCCGTTGGCGTGGCCTGGGTTCGGCCGAGGGCCCAAGGACCGTCAAAAAACTAGCCGCTATGAAAAACGGCCCCCAGGGAAGCTCCGCGGGGCCACGCATCGAGAAAAGTGGAGCGTCGGATGCCTGGGAACCGTTTATCGCGTTCTGTTCGACCTCATGACGGCTTCTCGTTTCCACGGCTGGGCCCGCCAGGGGTCAGGATGGACACTGGGAGAGGTCCGGGCCGATTTTGAGTGGAATCGGGCCGGGTGGGTGGAAGATCCGCCGTGGTCTCAACTGGCGCTCCGCTGGTAACCGTTCCACCCCAGACCTCCCAGGCTTTGAAAATGCAGTGCGGAAGTTGTTTCTGTTTGCGGCCTGCTGGGCCCTCGCCAGGCCCCAGGACTGAGCCCTGGCGAAATGGTCGGGATGTCGGGGACCCCGCATTGAACAACTCAAGGCGACAGAGGTCTGGGACGCCCTTCCCATCGAGGGCGCCCCGGCCGCGGCGAGCGCTGGCCAGGGACGTCCTGGACCACATAAGAGCCACGTGCGCGCAGAGAAACATCCTGCCGCCCGGCCTCCTCCTCCTCCTCCTCCTCCTCCTCTTCCTCCTCCTCCTCCTCCTCCTCCTCCTCCTCCTCCTCCTCCTCCTCTACCTCCTCCTCCTCCTCCTCCTCCTCCTCCTCCTCCTCCTCCTCCTCCTCCTCCCCTCCGAGGAGGAGCGAGGAGGACGAGGAGGAGGAGGAGGAGAGGGGAGGAAGAACTAGGTCGCAGGGAGGAGCCAGGTCGCGCGGGCAGCCACATACTGCCGCGGGCCGCTCGTTGTGAGCAAGCCAGGTCCACACTGTGGGCGGTACACCCATCAGACATCTGTAGGAAACGCGTCAACTTTCATGGACTCCAGATTTTGTTCAAGAATGTCAAGGATTCTGCACATGGCCCTGGGGATTTTGTCTTGGGTCTTTGTTTTTGTTCCTGCCTCTGGACCTGGACGGCTGTCTAAGAAAACGCTTGGAGTGAAGGCAATTTTCTTAGTCTCAAGCTTTCTTAGCTCGAAGCAGGGGTGTAAACCAGGCCCCTTCTGGGAGCGATGCCTTGCCTCGGCACGGCTTCGTGCTTCAAGCGCCCACGGCTCGGGCGTGCTGCAGCCCATGCCACGTGTCCGCCGACCCTTCTCGGTCCGCATGTGCTCCTCGCTATACCGTCGTCGTCTGGCCGCCGTCGCCACCGCCATCGCCGACGATGTTTTTCTGTTTTTCAATTCGCGGCCCAGGGTCTCCCCACCTTTGTCCAGGGATGGCTGTGGATTGAGCACTTTAGTTACAGGAGCCATACAAGCAACTGCATGCTTGAAGCAAAAGGCGTCGAGATAACTTTGGTTGTAAGTGAATCGAGATATTTGAGTGTTTTTTACGCGTCTACAGTCACTTGTGGAGGCAGCCTGAGCAAGGGAGTGGCCACCCAGGACCAATATTTTGGTGACCCTGGTAGGCTGGAGCTGGCGAAGAACGCTGTGTTTTGGGAGTGGTCCACGGGAACAGTCGCACTATAGCCTTCAGAGATCTGCGGTCGCAGCCGTCGTCATCTCCCAACGGCCCTTGGCGGCGCGCTGAAGGGGATGGGGGGGTGGACTTCTTAGAATGCCGACGACTCACTCGCGCCACCCCCTGCCAGGCCTCCGACGTCTTGAGTTTCTGAGGGCGGGGCCCCCTGCTGTCCCGAACGCTTCTTTGCCTGCTTTCCTGAGTCTACTTCTCCTCCTCATCCGCCTCCTCCTCCTGCTCCTCCTCTTTCTGGGGCCTCCCATGCATTTTGTTCATTGCGCACGCTTTAGTCGATTTTCGGATGCAGGCTCCTCCGCACCCCCTCCGCCGCGCCTTCATGGTGCCACGCGCGCCGACCCGAGTTCAAATCCGAGTCCGAGGGGCCTGGCCTCAGAGCCGGGAACATAGAGCACACTAATCCGCATTGAATTTTCTATACGTTTAGATTTGGGCCTCTTTACGGCGCCAAGACATAATTGCTCACATCTTGGAAGCCCCGAGCTCTGGACCTGCTCTGACGGACTGGCTGGTCATCCTGAGTGGGTTCTTGACGGTCGTGGGGCCCGGCGGAGGAGGCCGAAACTCGCCCAAAAACCGCCCGTCGTGCCTTTTCTCACGACGCGAGGAGGTCTCCTCCTCCTCCTCCTCCTCCTCCTTCTCCTACTCCTCCTGCTCCTCCTCCTCCTCCTCCTCCTCCTCCTCCCCTCCCAGGAGGAACGAGGAGGAGGAGGAGGAGGAGGAGGAGGAGGAGGAGGAGGAGGAGGTCCAGGACGCTGACGCTGTAGCATGACGGTCGATGTGCCCCCCGCGCCACCCCCAGCCCCCGGAGCGGTCGCTCCCATTGGGGGGGGGCTCCCGAGGAACACTCTGCTTGCCTCCAGGGTGCCCCGGGATTTTTGTTGGGCCTCGATGCTTTTTTTTGCCATGGAAAGCGCGACTCTCCCACACCAAACATCGATGGACATCCTAGCCTGGGGTCTCAGGGCTGGGTTTATTGTGGAAGGCTTCTTGTGATCGGGCCCCCACTGCAGCATTAAGTCGGGCGTGTCCGCCTACACGGGGAACGTTCCAAAACAGTCAAAAAATATTGTCTGGGGACGATATGTTGACTATCTTCGAGCTTTTCTTGCACATGTTTCTGGACCATTTCTAATTTTTTGGTCCAAATCCCCCTGTGGGGCGACAGGCCCGACCAAACTGTAAGCAAGAAGGCGCTCTGCTGCCCCTCGCGCCGCCGCCGCCGCCGCCGGCCGGCACCCGAGCAGAGGTGCGCCTCGGCGCGCCGGCGCGGCTGTGGCAGACGGCGCCCGCGGCGTCCGCCGCGGGGGCCCGGCCGGAGCTCCAGGGGGGGGCGGGCGCTTTTCCCCGCCTGATCCTCCTCGTCGTCGTCGTCCTCCTCCTCCTCCTCCTCCTCCTCCTCCTCCTCCTCTTTCTTTAACGTTAGTCCGACCTAAGGAAAAGTCCTCCTTGTCCTCCGCCTCTTCATATATATGTATATATATGTATATATATATATATGTATATCTATATATATATATATATATATATATATCGGCATGTACATGTATATATGATTATTGAACGAACTAGAATGATACCTATCCATACACATATGTGTATACAATGATCTATGTGTACATGTGTCTATATAAGTATGTATGCATATCTGTATGTATATATACTCGTACATATACAGACACACATATATATGGTTGCCCCCTCAACACCCCCCCCAAACAAAAAACACGAAAGCCACAAATCCATCATTGATCGTTTGATCCTTCTCATATTCCTCTTCATCCTCCTCCTCTTCCTCCTCCTCCACACATGATAATACATATTCTTTTCCCATACATCCCATATCACTTCTTCTATGCATCTCATCACCAACACCCTTCTCGCTGCCTCCCAAAACCGCAAAACAAACACAGTGTCTGGCGTCCTCGATGCAAGGAAACGCTGTGGACTTCTGTTGCTTGGGTTTTTTAGTCTGTGAATCAACGAAACACTGCGCCTGTGTTTTAGTTTCTTGTGGGTTTTGCAAGCCCCCATGCTTGCCGCGGCCTTCCTACCAGCACCCTTCTCTCCGCCCCCCAACACAAAAATAATTATCCTGGCGGATGACTCAACCATAAGCAATTGTTCGTAACGCGTTGTGGGTGCCGCTTTCAGTGGGGTTCCCTTTGGGGCCACGAAACGTTGCCTTCGGTGGGAGAAACGCATGCGAGCGCAGCCACTGGGGCGGGCCTTCGGTGGAGGTCCCTATGGGGCCACGAAACGCTGCCCTGGGCGGGGGAACCGCATGCGAACTGCGCCACTGGGGCCTTCGGTGGAGCCCCTTATGGGGCCACGAAGCGCTGCCCTGGGTGGGGGAGACGCATGCGAAATGCGCCACGGGGGCATTCGGTGGAGCTCCCTATGGGGCAACGAAATGCTGCCCTGGGTGGGGGAACCGCATGCGAGAGCAGCCACTGGGGCCTTCGGTGGAGCTCCCTATGGGGCCACGAAGCGCTGCCCTGGGTGGGGGGACCGCATGCGAGAGCAGCCACTGGGGCCTTCGGTGGAGCCCCCTATGGGGCCACGAAGCGCTGCCCTGGGTGGGGGAACCGCATGCGAGAGCAGCCATTGGGGCCTTCGGTGGAGCCCCCTATGGGGCCACGGAACGCTGCCCTGGGTGGGGGGAACCGCATGCGCGAGCAGCCGCTGGGGCCTTCGGTGGAGCTCCCTATGGACCACGCAGCGTTGCCCTGGGTGGGGGAACCGCATGCGAGAGCAGCTACTGGGGCCTTCGATGGAGCTCCCGATGGGGCCACGGAACCGCATCCGACAGCAACCACTGGGGCCTTCGGTGGAGCTCCCTATGGGGTCACGAAGCGCTGCCCCACGTGGGGGAACCGCATGCGAGAGCAGCCACTGGGGCCTTCGGTGGAGCCCCCTATGGGGCCACGAAGCGCTGCCCCGGGTGGGGGGACCGCATGCGAGAGCAGCCACTGGGGCCTTCGGTGGAGCCCCCTATGGGGCCACGAAGCGCTGCCCTGGTTGGGGGAACCGCATGCGAGAGCAGCCATTGGGGCCTTCCGTGGAGCTCCCCACGGGGCCACGGAACGCTGCCCTGGGTGGGGGGAACCGCATGCGAGAGCAGCCGCTGGGGCCTTCGGTGGAGTTCCCTATGGGACTATCAAGCGTTGCCCTGGGTGGGAGAACCGCATGCGCGAGCAACCACTGGGGCCTTCGGTGGAGCTTTCTATGGGGTCACGGAGCGCTGCCCTGGGTGGGGGGACCGCATGCGAACTGCGCCACTGGGGCCTTCGGTGGAGCTCCCTATGGGGCCACGAAGCGCTGCCCTGGGCGGGGGAACCACATGCGAGAGCAACCACTGGGGCCTTCGGTGGAGCCCCCTTTATGGGGTTACGAAACGTGTGAGGGGTGTGCCGGGAGCAGAGGCAAGGAGGGGGAGGAGGGAGGAGGGAGGGGGCAGCGGGAGGAGACGCGGGGCACCGTCTCTTCAAAGCGAGGACCTAACACCACAGGGTGGCTGGGGAAAAAACCGAATGGTTGGCGCCTGCGATGCAAGGAAGCGCTGTGCATGTTTGGTTTTTAGTTTTTTGCTTGGTTTTGCAAGCCCCAATGTTCGCCGCGGCCTCCCTCCCAACACTCCTCTTTCTGCTTTTCAAAACCAAAACACACACAATGTGTTGCGCCCTCGATGCAAGGACACGCTGGATAGTTGGGTTTTGTGTTGTTGTTGTTTTTGGGTTTGTGGAACAACGACACACTGTGTATGTGTGTTGTTTGCTTGGTTTGTGTTGTCTAGCAAGCCCCCATGCTCGCCGCGGTCTCTCTCCCAACAACCCTTCCTCTGCCTCCCCAAAAAACATACACATTGTGTCGTTGTCTCACAGGCCCAACAAAACATGTCCTTGCATCGAGGGCGCCAAACACTGTGTATGTTTGCTTTGTTTCTTTGTTTTGGGAGGCAGAGAGGAGTGCTCAGAGGGAGGGCGCGGTGAGCATTGGGCCTTGCAAAACTAGTGAATGCATAGTATTTCGTTGTTTCACAGACTCCCAAACCATAAGCAGTGTTCCGTTGTTTCACGGACCCAACAATGATACTACACATCTGCTCCTTGCATCGAGGGCGCCATACATTATGTATGTTTTTTGTTTGTTTTTCTCTGGTTTGTTTCCTTTGCACCGAAGGCGCCTCGCGCTGTGCATGATTGCTTTCTGTCTTGATTTGGGAGGCACAGAGACGGGTGCTGAGAGGGAGGCGACAGAGAAGCGACGACGTCGCTTCACTGGTTCTCAACGAAGCCGCGTGACACACGCGTGAATCTGGGATCGATAAGAAATTTGCGAGGCGCGATTACGCGGGTTAGTGGCTCATCAGGGGCACAGGGGCGCGCGCCACATCGGCGGCGTGCGCCCCATCAGTGCCCGAGCCAACTGCGGCAGTAACGCCCCGCTAAGCAAGCAATGCGTACCTCAATGCTGCCCCTTGGAAAGAGCGCAGGATGAAGATCATGACAGGGAAAAAGGAAAAGAGTATCATGAGAGGGAGCAGGAGGAAGATGAGCAGGAGGAGGAAGAGAAAGATGGTGAGGAGGATGCCCCTCCCCCCCTAGGCTGTCGTTGGGGGGTGCTGGGGGGGGGGGGGGCGAGCATATGTGTATATATATATAGAGAGAGAGAGAGAGAGAGAGAGAGAGAGAGAGAGAGAAAAAAAAAAAAAGAAAGAAAGAAAGAGAGAGAGATCCTCCTTTCGAAGGCGGGAAGGAGGACACAATCGCCATATACATAAACTTTGGCGTTCCGCGCGGATTTCTTGGATCCGCGCTGGGCGCCCCCGGCGCCGCCTGCGGCGCCGCCCTTGGCGCGCTCCGCGCGCCAGGGAGGGGGTTCCAGCGCAGATCCAAGAAATCCGCGCGGAGCGCCAAACATGTATGTTTATAGCGTTTTTCGTTTATCCTCGTCTGTCTATCTCTCCACCTCTGTATCTCTCCTCTTCCTCCTGCTTATCCTTTTTGTCGCTATTCTCTTCTTCCTGCCTCCTCCCTCTATCTTTCAGGTCATGAAGTATGAAGGCGGTTGCCGTGGTCCCGTCAAGGCAAATCGCTTCCTTGTCTTTGTTCGGCCCCACGGCGTATATATATGGCGGCGTTTTCAAACTTCCGTGTCCTGCCATCCCGTTTGCCGTCAATGCCACCGTCCGTTGGCATTCTTCTCAAGCTCTTTTTTCGACGGCCGGCACATGTACTCTCGACTGAGAGGATTAGTCACTTCGCTCGGTGCCATAGTGGGGACAAACTTCAGTGGTTTCATCGGAGCTGCGGGGGGCATCAGCAGTCTCGCGCAGCAGGTGACGGACTGCGCTGTACTGGAGCTGGGTGCACAGTGGGCCCCCACTGCTCTTCTGCTGGTCGCGACGTTCGGTTTCCTGTTGGGTGTGCTGTGTACGTGCTGCTATGTCCAGCAGTGCCCTGCGAGTCGGGCGCCGCCTCAACCTACAGTGGGGAGGGGGCGGGACTTGGCAGGCCCGCATCGTCGTCGGTCCGGCCACACGGAAGGATCTCCGCGACGTCATGGAGATCGAGGCGAGCGCCCAGCAGGAGGCCGACGGCAAGATCTGGTACCTTTTGAGCCCGGATCTCGACGTGTACCCAGTGCTGGTGGACGCCCCGGATCTGCGCGGCTACGAGCTTCTGGACAACGACGGGAGCGTGCTGTTGAGGTCTGGGCTCCGCCGGGGCGCGAGACCGGTGTACGGCTCCGAGTGGGTGCCTACCGCGCTGGAGCTGGTGGACGCGATGGAGGCGGTGGCCCCGCAGGTCAGGCCCGAGCACAGGATGTCCAAGAAGGGTCCGCTTCCTCCGACGGGGGCAGCAGTGCAGACACCTACGGACTTGGTGAATATAGTGACTGGGAGTGAAAGGCTCCCGGAGGTCAAGCCGCTGCGCTGGTACGTCACGGCGGGGCCCAACAAGTCGGAGATCGACGGCCTCTTCCCCCACTCCGTGGTGGACGAGTTCGCGCGTTCGGATGACATGGCCATCGCTGTTGTCGGCACCGGCGCGTACACCCTCAGAGCCCTCGACCCGAAGGAGGGCGTCGTGCAGGTCATCCGAGACGACCGCCTGCTAGCCATGGCGAAGGACAGCAGCGGGATCCGCAAGAAGCTGTTCAGGGACGCCGTGCTGGAGGTCACGGAGAGCCCGTGGCCAGGGTGGCCGCTCTTGGGGCCGCGCACCACGGCCTGGTGCGTCCGCTTCATTGCAGAGCAGGACAGCCACCCCCGGGCCCGCCACACCAAGTGGCTGCACGAGACGGGGCTCACCCAGTCGGACCCGGGGGTGGCTGATCATGAAGTCGCCATGCGGGCCTTCGAGTTCGGTCTCGTGTATGACCAGGTGAACGTGGGGGAGCTCGTGAGTTTCGAGCTGCTGGCCCGGCGGGCGCAGATGGCGGAGTGGCGATACCGCGACCGCCTGGCGCCCCGCCGGGCCGACGAGACCGCGGAGGACGAGCACCTCTACATGGGCACGGGGGAGACGAGGGGTCTCATCATGATGGCCCCGTTCTTGGTGGAGCACATCTCGACGGAGCTGCACCGGGAGAGCCAGGTGATGAAGGAGAAGAGGAAGTTGAGGGAGGAGCGCCAGCTCGCCAAGGGCCACGGCGCCGACGGCGACACGAAGGAGAGCCTTCGCAAGAAGGTCGAGAGTCAAGCTGCGGAGCTTCGCCGGCTTCAGCAGCAAGGGGGTAAAGGAGACCCTGCAGGCGGCCGCGATACCGGCGGCCGCGGCGCAAAGTGACGACGCCATGCCCGCGCCCCGGGAGCTGCTGCCCGTGCCGCTCCCGCGGGCGCCCTTCGACAGCAGCGGGCCTTCAAGCTCATGCTGTCGTGCCGTGCGTTCTCGTCTTCGCCGCCACCGGCACGTCGACGGGTGGAGCATGGAGGTGCATCAGGCGTTCAACTGTCTCCACGGACGAGGGGACGCCGATCCTGGGTGCCCGCCCACTCTAGGGCAAAGTTTTGGTTCTGACCACGTGCGAGCTGCTGTCCAAAGCATCGGGGCTCCTACGATCACAGGCGCGGCAGCCTTCAAGGAGCTGTGCGCCAGCAAGCCCGGCTACACATCGACGCCGGTGAAGCCCGCCGCCTTCCAGCGCGACCTCGTCGCGCTGCCCTCGCCCGGCGCCAAGTGCGATGGCGCCTGCATCCTGCAGGGCGAGGCGCTCGACCTTTGGGAGGATTGGCAGCAACGGTTGTTGCGGAAGAGCCCAGATGTCTCCGCCGTGAAGCCGCACTGCGACGCGAAGCTGATGCAGAGCAAGTCCAGCTACGCCCACTTCGTGGCTGACTTGTACGACGCCGGGCTGGTGAAGTTCGGCTCGTTACGTGAATCTACCCTTGGAATTTTCTTCGTTCCAAATCTGATGGGAAGTTGCGGCTTATATTTGACACGCGTCGGGTCAACCAGCTCTTTGAGCCTCCTGCGCACACGGCGCTGCCTACGGCTGGCTGCTGGAAGGGTTTGCTCTTGGAGCCTAGTGACGAGCTGTGCCTCTCGCAAGTTGATGTGGAGGCTTGCTTCTACCGCATGCGTGCACCTCCCGGGATGGAGGAGGTTTTCGTCTTGCCCCCGCTGGACTGCGGTGCGCTTCGCCGAGTTCGGCCAGACATCGCCGTCGGCGGGGACGTGACATGTTCCCCCTTGCTCATCGTTCTGCCTATGGGTTGGAACTGGTCACTGTTTTTTTGCCAAGAGATGGTCACACAGTGCGTGCAGCGTGCTGGTTACCCGCCGTCCCGTATTATTGAAGACAAGCGGGCGACTCCATCCCTGGTCGGCCAGACCGCTGCAGCGGTGTATGTCGACGGAGTCGCAGTGATTGGCACGCAGAGCGCGCAGACCGTGCAGGACTGTCGTAGCATTGCCGAATCCCTCCTCGCAGTGGGCCTGGTCACCAAGGACATGGAGCTGCCACAGGACGAGCAGCCGTTCACCGGGCTCATCTTCGAGAAGGGGTCCGGGCGGATCTCCCTCTCGCGCAGCCGGATCTGGAGGATCCGACGGGCCTTCCAGTTTGCCGCCGAGGCCGACAAGCTCACCGGCGCGCAGATGCGCATGCTCCTGGGACACTACACCTGGGCAGCCATGCTGAGGAGGCCGCTGCTGTCCGTCTTCGCCGCCTGCTACTCCTTCGCGGAGAAGGCCGGGGACATGGCATGGCGGCCTTGGGCTACTGTGCGTCACGAGCTCAGGCTGGGCGCGGCGCTGGTGGCGATGGCCTTTGTAGATTTGCGTCGGCCAGTCGCCGCCACTGTACTGGCTACCGACGCTTCTGGCGGCGCACGGCAGGGCCGCAGCCTGGCCCCAGATTTGGCGCCGCCAGGGCTCGAGTCGGCCACCGCTGGCGATCATGGGGGCTTCGGCGTAGTCAGTCGCGAAGTCCCCCGCTGCGCCGTGGCCGCCGCCCTTCAGCTCAGCGAGAGGTGGAGATTCAAGACGCTCGACTTTTTAGGGGCCCGGGCATCAGCGCTCGGCCTCAAGGATGATCCTCACGACGCTGCTGCGCAGAATCATCCTCCTCCTGTGAAGCATCATCACGTACCGCCATCGGGGATGGGAGCGTATGTCAACGAGCCTTCATCATCGACGCCGCCACCACATCGCTACGTCATCGCCTGGGAGGAGGAGCAGAAGTTTTACGAGATCGGTAAGAGTATATTGGGTTCTCAAGAAGACTGGAAGGTTTGTTTCTATGGGCGGTTCAACAGGGCCGCCGACATCGTTATCCTGGAGGGGGAGGCTCTGGTCATGGGGGTCCGCCACTTCGTTCGCAACACTGCCAACCATGGACGTCGCCTGCTGCTGCTATGCGATAAAATGGGGCTGGTGCTCGCATCAGGCAAGGGGAGATCTTCGGTGCCGTCGCTCAACCTCGTGCTTCGTCGGCTCGCTGCGATCTCCATCTTTGCCAATATCGATATCACAGTACGGTGGATCCCTTCAGAGTTGAATCCAGCAGACGCCCCTTCGAGACTCCCAGCAGCCAGGGCTCAGGACGCCCGCCTCGACCTCCGCTCTTTCGGAGGCCGCCCTGCACCAGAGCCCGACGATGGCTCGCTATGGCGAGCCGCTGCGGAGGCGCTCGCCGCAGAAGGGCGCCCGCGGCGGCGCGACCCAGGCCTTGCCGGCCTCGGCGACGCTGCGGCGCCCGCAGCGCTGGCAGGGGGCTTCGGGGTCCACCGGGGGGGCATCGGCGCGCAGCCGAGCGACTCCTCGGACAGCGACTCGGAGCCGGAGTCCACGGCCAGCTCAGGTGACGCCAGCCCCAGCGGAGAAAGCTACAGCACGAAGAGCGAGGCTGGCGGCCGAGCGGACCAGGACGGCACGCACCACCACATTGGTGCAGCCGACCGGGACCGCGCTCACGTACCTGCAGGCGCGCAAGATCAGGGCCTCGTCCAACGTGCACTTCGTGACCTCGTACCGGAACTTCGACAACTGGTGCCAGACGCACGCCGTGCCCGTCCAGACCGCCCACGAGATCGACAAGGCCATCAGCGAGTACATGGACGTGCTCTACTTCGACGGGATGCCGTCGGACGTCGCATCGAAGACGATCGCGGCCGTCCTGCACTTCCGCCCCGCGGCGGTGGGCGAGGCCGAGTTGGCGGCCAGCAGGGCCGCGCTGAAGGGCTTCCGCTTGCTCGCCCCAGCCCGCACACGCCAGCCGCTGGTCCGCGAGGCGGTCTTCTGCCTGATAGGGCTGGCGATGCTGGACGGCGAGTCGGGGTTCGCGGAGGCCCTCAGCTTGGCATGGGACACAGCCCTCCGCTTGCCCAGCGACCTGATGCAGTTGCGAAGTCCGTCCCTCGTGCCGCCGCAGCCCCGCGTGGAGATCTACGTGTGGAGCCTGCTGCTGTACCCAGAGGAGACCGGCCTGCGCAGCAAAGGGAAGCAGTTCGACGAGGGGGTCCAGCTCACGCCAGCAGGATCATAGGCGTTAGGCCCTGCCCTGGCGCGCCTACGGGAACGCCCAGCCCTGGCGCCCCTGTGGGACCTCGACGCCAGGCGATTCGGCCAGCTCTTCAAGAAGTACGCAGAGATGATCAACCTCAGGGACCCGCACCCATACCGGGTGCGACACGGCTCGGCGAGCTGGGACATCGCCAGCGGGACGCGGAGCCTCGAGGAGGTGCAGGCCCGCCTTCGGCACGCCAGCGCGACCAGCACCCAGCGGTACAGCCGAGCTGCTCGCTACACCGCGGAGCTGGAGCTGGCGCCCGAGTCGGTCAAGGCCTTCGGCGCCGCGGTGGCGGACCAGTGGGCCTTGACGCTCCAGGGCCGAGGCCGCCTGCCGCCCCGCCCGCGGCGCCCAGAGAAGCCGTGGTGAGCAGGAGGCCAGCAGGCGACACATACCAGCCCAGTGATCTTTTGCCCCTATCCTCCCTCCGCAAGCGTATGCAGAAGTTGTTTGATGCTGCCCGCAGAGGCCGCAATCGCGCTCAGGTGTTTCTTGATCTTTTCGCCGGTGAAGGCAGTGTGGCTAGCAAAATTCGTTCGAGTACAGAATATGGTGTAGTCTCTATCGTTATTAGATCTGATCCATGGCTTGATTTGTCTGACATTCGTCTTGTCCGTATCCTTATAGGTTGGATCGGATGCGGTGCTGTGCGCGGCATATGGATCGCGCCACCCTGCAGCACCTAGTCAGTGGCCAGCCGCGGCAGATACAGGTCTCCTCTTAATATCTACGGACACCCTGATCTCGATCCCCAGGGGTTTGCCCGTGCCCAGCTCGGAAATGTTCTGTTGAAGCACTCCCTGTTAGTGGTCACCGCCTGCCTCAAGAGGGGAATGCCTGTTGCACTCGAGAACCCTATGTCCAGTCTGATGTGGCAAGAGCCCCTACTCTCTCACTTACTCACCTTGCCGTCTTGTAATACTACCGTCTTTGACTTTTGCGCTCACGGGACGCGTTGGAGAAAAAGCACCCGCCTGGCATCGTGGCATTGCGGCGCAGCCCCTGAGGCGCTGGCCCGCCGTTGCCATGGCGCCGGGGTCAGGTGCTCCTTCTCTGGCCGTCCCCACATTTCTCTCGAGGGTAAAGCCCCTTGCGGGCGGCACTGGACCTCTATAGCTGAGCCGTACCCGCCCTCCGCTGCCCGTGCAATGGCCCGTTGGCTTTCGCGTGCCGCGGATCGGATTCACCTCGAGAATTTGTCCCGTGTGTGTAACTGACATATGCCGGCCAGAGGCCAGGTTTGGGTCTTTGGGCACTCCAAGCACGTGCTTCATGGTGGAGCCCGCCGGCCAGCCCGCCGTTCTCCATATAGATCGAACCATCTCTGGTGAAGAAACGGGTGGGACATATATATATATATATACATATATATACATACATTTATTTATATATATATATATATATATATGCCATGTCTGCTGCTCGTTGAGCTCACTCGCTTGTGCGTGTGTGTCTGCGGCCCACGCCGTGAATCTTCCAGCAGCCGAGGAGGCGAAAGGGGAGGGCAAGGTGTGGATGATGAGGTTTGCGTGCTTGGCGGCCGAATGTCTACGCCCGCGTTGCGTTGCAGGGCATTTATCAACATCTAAGTTTTGCTTTTTTTTCCCCCGTCCCAAGGGCGTTTTCGGATGATCCTTGGCGCAATCCAAGACGACACAAACATCATCCTCCTCCTCTTCCGCCTCCTCCTTCCTGCATATGTCCACCTCCTCCTCCTCCTCCTCCTCCGCCTCCCCTCCCTGTAACTGTCCTGCTGTTCCTTCTCCTCCTCCTCCTCTTCCTCATAATCACCATCATCATCATCGTCGTCATCATCATTATCAGCATCAGTATCAGTATCAGTATCATCATAATCAGCATCAGCATCAGCATCAGCATCAGCACCATCACCTTCATCAGCATCATCATCATCAGCATCATCATCACCCCTCACCTCCTCCTCCTTTTCCTCTGCCTCCTCCCCCTCGCGTCGTGACAACAGTCACAGCGGGTTGTTGTTAGCCGTTTTCGGCCTCTGGGGGCCCTCACCATGTCCCAGAACGGTAACAGCAACGATGTTTTTCCCAGGGGGGGGGCATTTCATGTTGAGTCGACTCAGGATTATGAAGACTGTCCTGGGCAAAGCGTCGGTACTTCGGAAGATCCTGTATTGCACAATTCATGACGTCGAAGGTCTGACAGAAACACGACGGGCATGTCTGATGCTCTTTCTCCGTTGCCATTCTCAGCCCCTGGAAGCCCTAGCCGTGCCCTGGAACCGTAGAAGAAGGGTTCCCACGAGGGCGCGAAGTTAGTCGCGCTTCGCAGGCCTCATTCCTCCTCCCCCTCCTCCTCGTCCTCCTCTTCTCCCCTTTGTGGGCGGCGCGAGAGCGCGAAGTTGTTCGCGCTTCGCGCAGCGCGAAGCGCTAAGTTAGGAGCCCTTCTAGAACATGGCTGTTTTTCCTCGCAGATGTGTCTCATCCTGAGCCGACTCAGAATGAAAAGCCGGTCCTGGGGATAGGGTCGGGATCCTCGGGGACCTGGCGCTGAGCAGCTCAGGGCGTCGGAGAGCCCAGCAGTCACGACGCGCGTCTTGAGCTTGTCCGCTCCGCTGCAGCCCTCGGCCCCCGGGGGCCTTCGCTGCGGGCCCCAAGCCGTCAGGGAACCGCTCGGGATGAAGAGCTGGTCCCGGGGAGAAGGCCCAGAGCTCTGGGGGCCTACGTTATGGTCGGGGGCGGCAAAAAGGGGGGTGATGACTAGGGGGGGTGGATATCCTGGCGTGGGCTATGACCTCTCCCCAGATTTTATGGCGCCTCTTCTTATTTCATTACGTCACTGACCCCCCCCCCCGCCCTGGACCGCGCACGTGGCGCTGGCCATGATGTGCGCCCCCCCCTCTTGGACACCCCCCTCTTGGCCGCTCCCGATCCGTTATGGTGGGTCACGATGCTGCTTTGCATCTTCGGGTGACCGGTCTTGTCCTGTAAATGGCAGTCTTTTTTCTTGCACTCCGACGCGGGTTCGACTCGAATTCGACACGGATTCGCCACGGATTCGACACGGGTTCGACGCGCTCGACATGGATTCGACTTGGCTTCGATTTGGATCGCGGCGCTCTGGGACAGACAAGGCCCCCCCCAGATGCGACGCAAACGACGATAGCAAAAACGCCTTGTTGTTACAGGTCCCTTCTTGTGGGCGGACCGAATGACAGGGCGGGTCGGAAGGGGGAGGGGGAAGGCAAGGAGCATCAGCGGGGGATCATGAGCAGCGGTATGTCCGCAGCCAGACACCCCGCTGCCACGGAGCCCAGATTATTCCAAATTTCGTAGTACAAAGCAGGGAGGGGGTCACAAGGCTCCCAGACGAGCAGCTTTACCCTTTTGTCGGGCGTGTCCCTCTACAGGACAATATTCAGAAATAGTTTTAAAATCGTCTGGGGACGATGCTTACATTATGTTCGGGCATGCTTTGAATATTTTTGATTCTTTTCGTCCAAAATGCCCATGCAGGGGAACACGCCCGACCTAATTTGTTCGACCCCCCGCCCAGATCAGCCGCGCACGAGAGGACACCTTTGTCTGCCCAGACCCCGCTGGTTCCTTCCAAGACGGCGCAAATCAGCCCTCCCTCCTCCTCCTCCTCCTCCTCCTCCTCCTTCTCCTCCTCCTCCTCCTCCTCCTCCTCCTCTCAGGTCCGAGGCGGGCCCGCGCCCCAGGGCCTGAAGCAAGAGGGGGGCGAGGCGGAAGAGGTGAGCGTTCTCCCCCAAGAAGTGCTGGCACTGGAGGGGTCCCAGCTCAGGAGGGAAGGAAACACACAGACACAATTAATCGTCGATTTCCCAGAAAGTATGGGAAAATATGGGAAGTGCGGGGGAAGACAACAACACAGAAAATAGGGGAAAATATTGGGAATCCTTTTATTTGTGTGTATTTATATGTGTGCCCCAGGGCCCCTTCACCAGCGGAAGTTGAAAGATCTGGTGGCAGTTTCCCGCCGATCTTGGCGGCCGGCTTGGCTCCCGGGTACCTGGTTCCAGGGTTCCGGGGTTCCTGGTCACTGGTTCCGGGCCGCGATGTCGGTGGGTTCCCGGGTTCCGGGTCGATTTCTTGTTCTCAATCAAACCATTCACGGATTGGGGTTTGTTTTTCTTTGGTGCAATTCAGGAATTTTGAGTACTCGTGCCTTTAGTGGGCCCCGGAATCGGCAGGGCCGTTTCTTCACCGTTTCCGAAAAGGTGTCCCTTGAAATTGGAAACGGCAAAAAAACGGCGACCGGAAACGGCAAACAACAGCTTCAGGCTTGGAACCAAAGCCAGAACCGGTAAACAAACGGCGACGGAACCGGTAAACAAACGGCGTCGGAACCGGCAAACAAATGGAAAAACGGAACCGGCAAAAAAACGGCCCTGTCGTTTCCAGGGCCCACTGAGCTCGTGCCCGAATTGAGGGAGGAGAAAGCCTTGAGGACAGGGACCCTCTGGACGTGCTGTGAGTAGTCTTCGGGCTCCCGTGCCCACCCCTGGGCCCACACGCCGCCGGCCAGCAGTTCGGGATGCTCTCCTCCTCCTCCTCCTCCTCCTCCTCCTCCCCCTCCTCCTCCCCCTCCTCCTTCTCCTCCTCATCCCCCTCCTCCTCCTCCTCCCCCTCCTCCTCCCTCCTCCCTCCTCACTCCGTCCTCCCTCCTCCCTCCTCAATCCCAGGCCAAGCCCCAGGAGCTCCTTCCTTTGCAAAGGCGATGGAGACCAGACCCTCGTCGCAACGTGTCCAGAAGGAAATCGGAATGCAAACAAATGGCCGATCCGATCGCAACCCAGGTACACATCAACATGCAAAAAGTAATGCACGTCCAAATGCAGACCCACATGCCATCGAACGCAACTCGGAATGGACATCACACTGCAATCGCAATTCAACTCGGTATTTCACATTGGCCTCCTTGGAATGTCCTTCGGCAGAATCTAGCATGCTCCAGGCTCTTCCCGCCTAGCTCGCCTTGGTACAGCTTGAGGTTCGGTATGTGGCGCTCTCCTGCAGGTTCTGCCCCCCCTCTCTCCCCCTCTCCCTCGCGAGATGAGGAGGAGGGTGAGGGGGGGGGGAGGACAAGCCGGGTGCGCTCGCGTCATGCCTGACGTCCTACCCCTCCCTCCCATCCCTCACCATGGCATAGAGCCCCTCTCCATTCGCGCAGTCGGATGTCGAGCAGGACAAGGATCCCGAGAGGGTGCGCGATGCATCGTCGAGCACGGCATAGCAGGGCGTGGAAGAGCACGGCAGAGCGTAGTATGTCATAGCATGACGTGGTGTTGCGCAGTGAAGAAATGCATCACGAAGCATTCCAGCGCAAATAGTGGCATCGCACAGCGGCGCAGAACAGAACACGGCATAACATGGCGTTGAATATCAAAGCGTAGCATCACATAGCATGGCGTGGCACTGCGTAGTGAAGCTTTGCACATCCTAGCATTGCAGCTGAAGGCATGGCATCGCACAGCGGAACACCACACAGCATTGCATTGCATGCCGTCGCATGGCACTGGAAACAATGACGCCAGCGTTGCAGCGAGAGCACGATTCGGAACGAGCGGAAGCGCGGACATGAGGCCAGCGTTGCAGCGGGAGCACGATTCGGAACGAGCGGATGCGCGAGAATGAGGCCAGCGCTGCAGCGGGAGCACGATTCGGAAAGAGCGGAAGCCCGAACATGACGCCAGCGCTACAGCGGGAGCAGCATTTGGAGCAAACGCCAAGCGAGAACCCACAGTGCGCGGAGAGGGGCCGAGCATCTTCCGGACGTCATCCGGGGAGAGGGGGGAGTAGTCTTCATACTGTGAAATTGTGTAACTGTGGAGGAGGAGGCGGAGGCGGAGGAGCAGAGGAGACAGCAAGCAGGGGCGGCCATGCAGAGGGGGCAGGACAGAGGGGAGGGGGGCGGGGGCGGGGGCGGATGTCGTGGGAGCAGTCGTCGCCCCTCTGGCTTCCCTCCCCCTCCCCCGCTCCCGCCCTCTTCCAGCCGCCCTCCGTTCCAGCAGCAGGCTTCGAAGGCCTGCGGGGCCCTCCTCCGCCGGCGCTCGGCCCGCGGGTGAGGAGGATGGGCTCGGCACCGCTTGGACGTGTTCACTTTTTCTCTCGGCGAGGGCCATCGAGGAGCATGTTTGGTTCCCCGTGCCGAAAAAGAACACGCACGAAGCCGAAACGTGCACGGGGAATGGACGGTCCGAGCGACGAAGGCCATCGAGGGGCATTCTGCATCATCCGGCAGGAAAAGGAAGCACGAAATCGAAGAATGCACGGGGAATGGACGTCCCAGCGATGGCAAGGGGGGGGGTCCAGCGACGACCCATGATTTCCAGGACAGCCGAGGCGGGCACCTTGGACTTCTGTTCCAGGTTCCTCCTCCTCCTCCTACTCCTCCTCCTCCTCCTCCTCCTCCCTCCTCCTCCCTCCTCCTCCTCCTCCTCCCTCCTCCAGGCTCCTCCTCCTCCTCCTCTTCCCTAGCCCCCTCCTCCTCCTCCTCCTCCTCCTCCTGCTCCTGCTCCTCCTCTCCTCCTCCTCCGCCTTCTCCTCCTCCTCCTCCTCCTCCTCCTCTCTCCTCCTCCCTCTCCCCTCCTCCTCCTCGTCCTCCTCCCCCCTCCTCCTCCTCCTCCCCCTCCTCCTTCTCCTCCTCCTCCCCCTCACACTCTGGAGGCGGGTCCACTGGACCCCCGAGCGCCTCCTTCCCCAGGCCGGCCTTGGCTGTCCCTGGTGCCCGGGGAGGGCATCGAGGAGGCCGACGGCGGCGAACAGCCGCCAGAGCAGCCGCCAGGAGTCATTTCCCTGAGGACGTCTTTCTGCCACTCGAGCAGGACCAAAGCATGAACATACACCCTTCCTTCATGCGGGAAATATATATATATATATATATATATATATATATATATATATATATATATTATATATATATATATATATCCACATCCAGTTCGTCTTGGATTCTTGGGCTCTCTCCCCCAGAAACCGTAAACGCACTGGATATGGATAAAATCTGGCCCCAAGAGGCTTGATTTTATCCATATCCAGTGCGCCTCGGCGTTGCGGCACCTCTTCCCAAAAAGTCCACGACGCTCTGGATATTGCCCGCACTTCAGAGGTCCGCGCCCATGTCTAGAATCTGCGACGGACTTCCCTGCGGCGCCTCCAGCGCCGCCCCTGGCGCTCTCGGCGAGCTTCCGGCGCCGACTCGAGGAAGCTGCATGGGCTTCCGAGAGCGTTTACGACTGTGCCGTGTTCTTAGGAGTCTATTCGCGGCAACTTCCCCCCCCCGTCGTCCCTGCTGGGTCTGCAGGGTCTACCTCGATCTGACGGTTCCGATTTCCCGACGAGCTGATGCGGCAGGAAGCCTTCATAGAGTTGTTGTGCATCTCGGCGCAGCCGGCTCGATTTGATCTCGACTCCCTTGCCGATGCGGCCCGATCCGAAGCACGTCCCGATCCGATCCGAGGACGGGGACGCAGGGCCGCAGGGCAGGATGAGAATGGCGAGGAGGACCAGCGAGATGAGGCTAGGGAGGAGGCGGCTGAGGTGGGTGGAGGAGCAGGAGGAGGGAGTTGAAAGGGAACGGGAGGAGACTGTTTTTTTTGTTTTCTTGGGGCAATAGTTTTTTTTGAAAGGGAGCGGGAGGAGACGGAAGAGGAGGGAGGGGAACTGGTTGAGGTCAAGG